TTAGTTGTTATTTAAGTATACTTTTTAAAATGACTTAAAAATCCCAAGAAATAAAGCAAAATTCCCTATTTCCCCAATTCCAAAAAAATCTGTAGATCTGGCATCACTCTTTCTAGGGCTGCCCTCTGTTAACGGATTGTATTAACATATCGGAATACGAAGTCGGAATTGTATAAGTAGTGACATCTATTACAGAAAAGGCAAACGACGAAAACAAAGATGACCACCGGTCGCTGAAGTGGATCTTATTTGTGGAAGGGCGAAACGGGCGGTGACTATGAGACGCCTTCATTATAGCCATCCTTCTCTATCGCATGGATTTCTATGGCTTACTTTATCGCTCTCACGTAACGGCCGATGAACCATGGGGACTTTCCGACCCTGTATATTCGCAAAACCGAAGCAATGAATAATTTTTTTTAAGTTAATTAAGCCTAGTGAAATAAAATTTGCAATTCTTAATTAAATAAAATATAAGTGAATTCGTGCCCAGTTCCTCTCTTACCAATTCACCTAAATGGCATATGAAATCTCTTCATCACTGTCGACAACATACTTAGCAAGCGTACTTAATCGTAATTATAAATAATAATAAATTTATAGGTAAACAATAGTTGTTTAAATTTAAAAACAAAAATGATTTATTATTTACAAAAAACACATCTTTGTTTTTAAATTGACATTCACATACTTGTGTAAATTGGTTTGATTCTTTTTACTCATACTAAAACATCAGTTGAAAGAAGGGATAAAACGTGTTACTTTACGATAATTTGATTAATAAGCATATTATCTGTATGGCCCACGAAAAATACACCAATACGAACAGTAAACATCGAGAAAAAAAATGCCTCTTTGCCTCTTCGTCAAAGAGCTACAGTTTCTATGCCAAACCATGCCACATAGTTTGCCTGATTTTAACCACACCAACTTCAATATACTTCTAAGCGTTTTACCAAAATATCACACTTGCTTAGTACTTTACAGTAAGTTAGTAAATAGAGGAATAAGTATATTAAGTGCGACTAGACAACAGTGTACAAATTCTACGTCTCTACCTAACACCGTATGTACCGTCGGGAAAACGCGTTGTCGCTCAAGCCAGGCACTCTGCACTTTCGCAACTATTCTAGTGATGGTGACCTTTAAGGGCGTCCACACATTGAGACAATTCAAAGGCTGTCGCCCTCTCAAAGCCGAGCATCCACAATGACTCCACTCGAAACTGAAGTAAAATTCTCACTTCGATTCCTAAAACTACAGCAACATTTTTTTATTCATATATTCTTATTCTTACTGTCAGGAGATAATTCGTATTTTTTATTTACTTTGACTTAATGTGTCTAATGTTACAAATCGAAGTGAACGAGCTGGGAACGAATAGCATTCTAGTAAGCTTGTAAGTTACAAGGGAGCCATTTGAACCTACTGAGAAGGTTATCGACAGTTTTGCAACCGTAAGTTAGTCAGTCGGATAATCGTCGTCCCCCAGACACCATACGCGTAGGGTACACTCGTGAGTGAGAATGTTTTTACTAGTAATTGCTGTAGAGTCATTGTGGAGCAGCCCTGAAGATTTTCTAACCCCTTAACATGATAACCCCGCTCACTGGAGAACTCTGATAGATATGGGCTGTTCGACTTTAGTTTTCCAATGAGTTGTTATTTTTTACGTCAGTTTCGAAAGTATTAAAAGTGGCCATCACTAACTACACCGCCACCACCGCACCGGCTGCACTGTAACACACCCCAGGTTAATGAAACCAAGCACATCGACATCCGGTTAGTGTCGCATTAGTGTTACATTGCAGTCGTGAGTTACTGAAAAAAAAAAAGGAACGAACATCAAAATAGTCAGCCCAAAATAAAAAACGAAAACCTCACAGCAAACAGTAAGATTGGCGTCCGCCATCCGACCGCCTCACCCGCCGGACCTGAGCCGCCCAGAACGCATCTCGAATCCAGTCGCGTCGATATTAATCGTAGTGGAGGTGGGTTTTGAGGGGGAGGTCCGGGTGTTTTTTTTTGGTGACAGTTATCGGTTGGCGAACATCGTGCAAAAATGGCGTTCGCGGAGCCGTTAGTGGTGGACACCTGGTGGGGGTTTCCCCAACGGCCTTGCGAGTGCCGGCTAATGTTTAATAGTGGAACTCAATACTAATTAAAATAAAATTCACGCGCACACTCACAAACACTCATCGAAGGAACTAACTGTTTACATTTTAGTGTTTGAGCCGTTACGAACGGTGGTTCGGGATACGTCTCATTGCATGTCAGCCAAATTCAATAGAATTCAATGGATTTACGAATCACCAACTGCCTTCATGACAAAAGTAGCTAGAAAATATGAAATATTGATTACGATAGAGTTGGTGATGTATTGGACTTGGTTGCACTTCGAGTGCACATTGCACAACTGCCCTGTCATTCTGACTTACCCGTACTGGCTGGGGAGGAGAGTGGGGTAGCCTGCCCTTACACTGGGGAATGGAAAACCTAGAAAAACAAAAAAAAATACTTAGTAAATTGTCCGTTAACTGTTGCCTCTATCAACCACACGTTTCCTCAGTATTATTTTTGCCTCCTGATCACGAATCCTGTGTCAGAATTGAGCTATCACATCAAAGGAATTTCCTAACCTCAAAAAACAGGTCAAAATAGCAAAAGTTCACGAAAAAGTGCTAGGAAAAATACAGAATTTTTTTTTTCTATATTCAAATGTTACGCAAATTTGGTATTTGGGGTCGCTGATCAGGGATCGGGGGTCAATTTTGCAAAATTCAAGATAGGGGATCCAAGATGGCCGACCAAATTTTCAAATAGGAACAGATTCGCGCCAAAATTGGTATACGGAGGTTTTCGGCGTCGCTGATCACGTATTCGAGGTCAGAATTGCGAAATTTATTTTGTAATATTTTTGTTTACTTCTTTTTTTCGGCTATATCTTGTTCTTTTTTCTGTAAAAGATCTATTCACTGTTTTTTTTTTGCCTAATCTGAAGTAATAAAGTACATAGGTAACTGATTAAATTTTGAAAAACGAATTTTGTAAATCTGACCTCGAATACGTAATCAGTGACCCCGAAAACCCCCGTAAACCAAATTTGGCGCGAATGTGTTATTTTTTGAAAATTTGGTCGGCCGCCATCTTGAATTTTGCAAAATTGACCTTGGATCCGTGATCAGCGACCCCAAAAACCTCCGTATACCAAATTTGGCGCGAATCTGTAATTTTTTTGAAATATCGTGATATCTGACCCTAATTTACGTTTTTTTGTGGGGTTAGAAAAAGAACCATTTATTCTGACCGCGGATACACGTTCGGCGCGGTCTTAATCATATAAATGAACATTTGAATATAGAAAAAAAATGTTTTTTGTATTTTTCCTAGCCCTTTTTCTTGAATTTTTGCTATTTTTGTCCTGTTTTTTGAGGTTAGGAACTGATGTGTTAGCTCAATTCTAACACCGGGCTCGTGGTCAGGAGGCAAAAATACTACGGCTAACATATGTCGCATTGAAAGTACATTTTTTTGTGTGGCTGTGTTATCTATCAAACGATTTGCATTGTTAATGATAATGATTGCAATTAATGCAATTAATTGCTTTGTAGATATCTTTAAAATGTTAATAATTTCCAATTTAGATTTTATATCTGCTATGAATATTCGTGATAAAAATTTTATGTGTTTTATGCAACAAATGTATCAGCACCTATACAGGGTGTTAGAAGTTTGACTGCCTTGAATTGAAATCCGTTAATTAGGAGAGCCGTAGTAATTGTTTAAACGTATGCGTAATTTTTGCGCTTATAAACTTTATAAATAGAATAACTTTATAAATTCATTATAATTATTATTTTTTAAATTATGTTTTTAAAGTACTCGAAAAGACGCTTCTTTAAAAAACAAAAACCTGGTGATTCGTTAATTGGTTCCAGAGTTATAGTCGATCAAAGTTGACAGGCATTTGTGGCGTGCGTAACAACGAGGTCTGGAGGGTTGTTTTTTAAACAGATACCTTTGTCATTCCAAGTATTTTCCGGGAGTGAATTTGCAAAACTTGCGCCCTTGTGCAGCCCATATAAAATGTCGATTAAAACTATTGGACCGAGCATGAAATTCACGAAAAGTGTATGGGAGTTAGTGGTGGGGGGTCGAGAGCTCGGCTACTCCGGCCGACTCGAAGTTGAAATCGCGCGTTCAAAATAGCGGTGCGCTTAAAAATTTTGATTATCTCGGCTTCTAGTGGTTCGATGTTGATGTTTTTTTTTTTAAATCGATGTCTCGCGAGCTGAAAAGTCCAAATATCGCATTTTCAAATGCGAATTATTGTTAATCGACCTATTAACGTATTGATAATAATTACTGCTATTTAATTTGCTTTACTTTTCTCGTATTTTTCTTTATTCTATTAATGAATATTACTCAAATTTATATAGTTTTTATCCGTACATTGTATTCAATTTGATTAAACATTCAAAATTTGTAGTATAATGCTTTTTTTTCTAATTTGATTTTAAAAATTGATTTATATAATTATTGTTTGAACAATAATTTTTTTTAATGGATAATGGTTGAGTTTAGGACCCCTGTCATATAAGGTTTTTTTGTTTATTTTAATGTATTCTATCGTCTGTTAGAATTAAGGCAGTCAAACTTCTAACAAAAATAATTTATTCGCGATTTGAAAAAATTCCTAAGCCTGGTGGATTTTGATGATAAATTTGTTGGAAATTGTATACACAAAGAGCTTTCCTTGAATTTATTAACTGTTTTCGACTATTAAATTTTCGGTAAGACATAATTTATTTTTCTCCACACTTTGGAAATGCTAATAAATAGCTTTTACGTTGCGAATTGCATTTTTTAATTCAGCTGAAACTGAAAACGATGTTTCCGCTCGCGTAATGCATTGGGACTGTTGTAAAAACAATTTCCTCGCGATTTGAGACAATTCTTCCACCTGGTGGAGTATTTCCGATCGCTAAACGAATTGTTGGTTTCGGCGGTCGCGCGTCGCACGCGCGGATGTCCGGGTGCGCCGGAAGAAGGGTGGATGATAGGAATCCATGCCGCTGCGGCTTGTGCTTGCTGAACTATACTCGATCTGAAACACCTGGTGGGTTATTGAGCCCATTCCTTACAACGGCTTACAAAAACAAATTACCTTTGGGAAAAACGCTGGTAAAAATACTTCTGTTGTGTAAATCAAATTATCTAGTTCTACAAACGGCAGTCCATAAGAATTTTATTGGGGCAATAAATTTTTTGTACGTTTACTTTCCTTTAAATAAAATCGTGGTCGGTCGTTAAAAATTTAAAAATAATTCCAATCATTTGGTCACAAGTCGGAAGTCGCATTTCGTCGGGAATAGGGTCGGTTCATAAATGACCAACTGGCCAACTTTTCAGTTGAATTATATTACATTACATTACATTTTGTCATTTATTTCGCATAATGACCTTAAATCCCAGCGAAATTATTTCTGTACCATTTCGAATGCATAATACGTAACGTTTATGCGTCACGAGATGTTGTTTCAGATTTAGCGCCCTGGAAAATTTGTCAGTTCATATTAACAGAAGCAGTTAACAAATTCAAGGTAATTATCGATATGAAAAGCTTTTGTATATACAATTTTCAATAAATTTAATATCAAAACATCCTGCACGTATAAATTGTATAGTAACCAACATACCAGGGTCTACATAGATCTTAAATAAACATACTCTGCAAATCTAAGCGTAGCTGTAGTGTTTTGGAACACATCGAACACCTGTCTATTATGTTTTATGAATTTCTCAGATCTGACCCATATTTTTAGTCTAGCTATAAAGCAGTTTATTGCAGAAGGAGCCTTATTATTTGAGAACAGTAAGAAGCTATCGTGAGTGCGTTTCGAAAGTATAGAGAAAATAACTCGACGGTTTGTGTATTTCTTTAAAATTGGTTTACGCGTAATTATAAGAAATTTAAACAGCGGCAAACATTGCAATTCAGTTGTAACATTTTCAAATTATTCGCATGAATCGCGAGGTAGATTGTTGATGCTGCATTTCGAAAGTGTGAAGAAAAATAACTTGTTTTAGAATCTGATATCATCAACGTTTTGTGCATTTCTTACGAATCGCTGCACATATTTTTAATAAGAAATGATCTGTTAACGCGGCATTTAAAAAAGCGTAGATAAAATCATCTTGTGTATCCGATACAGAAACTTTTCAAATAGCACAAAATTTTTAAATTTAACTTTACTTAATTTATGTGAATCCCAAAGTATATTACTCTCGACATGTGATGTTTTTCGTGATGTATGACTTACTTACCGGCTTGAACATTTCCTCTTGGCTTGGCTCCCAATATCGCTAGGTTCACATTTGCCTTTCTTCCGTCTATTATTGGATTTGGATCCTTACACGCTCTTTCAGCGGAAGCCCGGTCTCCCATTATAACCTTTAATAAAAACAGGCATACAGTGCAAAAAATCACGAAAAAATTTAGATTATATGAAGTATATTTAGATATATACAGGGTGTGGCGTATATAATCTATAAAAATTAAACTACAGTTTCCTGATGATATTTGTAATAGAAAAGTCGTATACGAAAAAGTTCTACCTGCGCGTTTTTTTTTTTGTAAATTAAAGTTCATTTATTCAAGGAAAATGAAGACCGACCCTGTGTTATTTATAAAAAACTTTGGTAATGTTTTTATGCGACCCGAGATGCAACCTTATAATTTAAATCGCTATCAGCTAATACTAGTAATACTAAAAGAAGGTTAGGTTACATTTTGTATTTGTATTGAATTCATTATTCACTTAATTATTAAATATTAAGCATCGTCCATCGACAAAAGTTTTTATTTTGTAATTCCACGATAGTGACTGTAATTTTTATAAAGAAGTAAAAAATAAGAATAGCGTGCCGATTACATTAAAAACGAGATTCTTATTTCTTACTTTGCTTAATTTTTTAGTTTGTGCACGAACTAGTTTTACAATGAACCGAGAAAACAATGCAATTACTATTTCCGAACGGGTCGATATGGTGTTAGTGTATGGTGCAGCCGGAGAAAATGCGCTCGCGGCTGCTAGGTTCTACCGGGAACGATGGCCACAACGTCACCCACCATGTGCAAATACAATCCTACAGTGCGTTCAGCGGCTGCGAGATACTGGAAGTGTTACTCCTCGAGGAGAAGGACGTGGTCAGCAAGTGAACCTTAATGTTGAAGATGCAGTGTTGGCAAATCTTGACGAAGACCCCACAATTAGTACTCGACTCGTACAGCAAGTAGGAACCTCATCTCGTACCGTACATCGCACTTAAGGCGCCAGCTGTTGCACCCCTATCATCTGCAACCAGTTCAACAGATTTTACCCCCGGATTGTGATCAACGAGTGCGTTTTTGCGGATGGTTTTTACGGCAATGTGCCAATCAAGTAGACTTTCCTGAACAGATGAGGCAACATTTACCCATGATGAAGTGAATTTCCATAATATGCACATATGGGCCGATGAAAATCCTCACGCGGTTAGGGAAACTCATTTTCAACATGGGTTCTCTGTAAATGTTTGGGCTGGCATAATAGGCGATGTACTTGTGGGTCCCTATTTCTCTGAAGGGCGACTAAATGGACCAACATATGCTGACTTACAAGTTCGGGCACGCATGTTTTATCTTCAAGATGAGGCTCCTCCACACAGTACTCGAGAAGTAACGACACTTTTGAATGAAATGTTTCCTCAGCGATGGATTGGAGGATTTGGTCCTGTGCCATGGCCACCTCGGTCACCCGATCTAATTCCAATGGACTTTTATCTTTGGTGTCACTTGAAGTCATTGGTTTACAATACTCCAATTGCTACGGTGGAAGAATTGCGTATTGAAGCTGCTGACACAATTAGGGGAATACCTGGAATTTGGGAAAATATTCGCCAAATTTAGTTGCGTCGGTGCCATGCCTGTATCCGCGCTAATGTGGTTTTGTTTGCGAACTCTTGCAGTAACAACAATGCATTTAAGATAGTAATTACTATTAATTATTATAATAAGAAAATATTAGTTTTGCGTTTAATATTTATTTTTCTTAGTTTGTACTTTTGCATTGGAAAATTCCCCAAAAATTGAGAAGTATCTTTTTATCTTTCAACGACGATTGTTTACGCGGCTGGTCTACAGTACGTAACTCGTCGTACAGCACACGGACAGGACCGTTCCAGAGAAAATATTTTGATCCATAATTGAACTTTAATTTACGAGAAAAAAAAACGCAAAAATAGAACTTTTTCGTATAAGACTTTTCTATTACAAATATCGTTAGGAAGCTGCAGTTTTTATAGATTATACACGCTACACCCTGTATAAGGAATGATAACGCTACACCGAGAAAACTGCTTGTTACACTTGACAAGCAGTGCTTTTAAGTGAACTAAACGTTTTTCTAAGTGTAGTTCAAATGTAATTCAGTAGGTATCAAAGACACTTAATACTTAAAACGGTTTTAAATTCATTAGTAATTTTTATTACACATCGGGAAGCGAACAATATGGAGTGCCACAACATCGTTTTCACAAACTTTAATGCGGCATGGTTTATTTATAATTTCGCTGGTGTTTAGAATGGTTTCTAATGACAAATGGTATTGCTGTTGTAAACTGGGACGGCGCTTTTTCCTTATCTAGATGAAATACACATAATTCTAGTTAATTCCAAATTGACATTGAACTCAACAAAGGTTGGTATGCATTTCCATACATCAATATTTTACATGATATTACACTATTTTTTCCGGTTGTAAGGTATTAACATTCGATCATTGGGCCCAGTTGCATAATTTTTAACTCTTGCCAAATCTGTTCTACGCCACTGTCTTATAAATGTATTTGTTCGTTGATAATTTTGAATTATATTTAGCTCGTTGAACGGCGTTGGATTCTTTTACGGGATTGACATCTTTTATTAATTATGACATTAGATTTTGGCCTTTTGTCAAATTTTGAGCCGTCTGCCTACTCTAAATAAATAGCGGCTATGAGCTGCATCTATTTTTACCGCCTTATTTTTTTAATTACTAATATATTTCCCCATCATTAAATGAGAAATATTGGTTGGAGATATATCCTCGGATGCGATCCTATCCTGTTATTTCTGCGATTCAACTAGACTGGTGTTAAAATACGTAGAGATATAAACAGAATTTGACGTTCCAAATTCTAACGTGACGTTAAACAGTTTGAAATAAAATCTATATTTGCATACACACACTTTCATTGGCATTAGCTTTTATTTTTAATGGGGGCAAATAATTCGATTATCTTTATTGGGCGCCAGTTATTCAGTAATTATTAGGAAAAAAATCATTATTACCATAGATTACCGAACGCTATAGTAATCTTTATACCTACGTACACTGATTTTGTTTATTAGAAGCTTAAGTCAACATACATTGTTTTGACTCATGCCATACGTATTTTTAAACAAAGCGCTGCATAATGGCTTCTGATAATGTTCAGGTATAATCAAGTTCGATCTGTTACTGAGACAATTTCCATATTTTATAAATACGTACATTTAGGTGTACGCTGATAAGATAGTGGTTTGTTGAGGTATAGATAAGATGCTCCTTACATTATGTGAAACAAAATGATAATTTCTAATTCGAAGTATAAATAAAACTTTGTATAATATTGGAGAGTTTGTACCAACCGAAAAACAGCAACCACTAAAATATCTGGACGAGGTCCGGAAGATTTTCAAATTTGCGAAAATGTTTAAAAAATTTGTTTACTTATATCTTGTAAACTATGCATTTTGGAAGAATATTGAAGAGGAAAAAAAAAATTTAGAATTGAATTTTGCACAATATACTGTAAGTTAAAAGTGTTTAAATTTATTACCGATGTTGCAAAATAGCAATAATTGATGAAAAAAAGTATTTTACTTTTACTCAAGTTTTTTGGTTAATTTTTTAAAAATATTTTAATTGCTCCGAGGACATTTCAATTTTGTTAAAAAAAACTTTAGAGTATAATAAAAACACACCAAATTTCATTAAAATCGGTTTAATAGTTTTCGTAAAATAATTTTTTTAGTGCAAATCCTAGCGGAGCGAACGCGAAATAAAAAGGATCCGCGGTGGCAAATATCTACAAAGCGCATATTAAAGCACGTAAGCGCGCCAGTAATGGGCTATGACAAATTAATTCGACTAATGTAAAATTCAGGCGACCAAAAACTGGTACATCGCATAATGCCGTTGGGGCGAGCCTTTTTTAAATTCACAGCTGTCTGGACCCATAGTAAACCCAAGGAAACGGGACAATTGTTATAGGGGAGTACCCTACGGGACGTTAAACAGTATGTGCATAAATTTGGACGGCTACTGGCTACTTTCTCCAGCAGACGCACCAATTTCGGCCGTATTTTTAATTTTTTGTATCACTATTCGGCTTATGTCTCTCATCTTACACGAGATATTTACATTTTCTATATCTACGTTAAAGAAATATCGACCTTAGGTTTCAACTTGACCTATTTGTACTATCCTGACGTGTTACTTATCCCCTGTGTTATCTGATATTTCGTCAGATATATCACGCATGAATAATTCAAAACTGAACAATAACCACCCAAGTCGTCTCTGTTAATCACCAGTTTTCATTTATCTACTAACGAATTCTCGTTTCATTTTCTTTATTTCCAAAGTACTGGTTTATAAAAAATATAAATATTCAAGTACTAAAGAAAAGATTATTTATATTTATTTTATTTCTCTTCTATTTCAGATGTCAAGCGTCAATCCCTCCCCGCCACGCCTCTGGTTTTGCGAGGATCATAGATCAATTAAAACAAGACGTACAACATTATAAATTTTCGTGTTGTTTTCTTCGATAATCGATAAGACAGTTTGTTTCTTCAATAATCACCCCCCTGCAACGCCACTGGTCTCGTGTGGGTTACGGATCAGTTGTCGCAACATCTGCCCCAGGTACTGTAGTTTAAACATGGCAATTTTTCAAAATAATTAACATTTCCTGATACATTTTTTTCTCAAATAGTTCACTAAAAACAGATAAGGAAGTGACGGTAATTATTATTATGTTCATTTAAGTTGCTTTTACTTGCAGCATACTGATTGTGTGGTGGTATGAAATATATTTTATACAGGTACTTCATATGACTAAGAAAAACCAGTCAGTTATTTTTGATGGAACAAAGAATTTCCAATTTTCTAAATGGGTAAAATAGCACACAGTTTTACCGAAATCTTTAATTTTTTAATGTATTTAGTTTCCCGTCGATAGATGCTAAAATTTAAGTGACAATTTTATAAATAAATTGAAACAATATCGATTGATATTTATATTTATTTTTTTACTACTCTTTCGATTCTTTATTACCGTTCTTTTGATTTAAAACTTTTTGACAGTTTTTCAATATAATTACACAAAACTTTGACGTTTAAAACATCGTAATTTTTCAAGAGTTTATGCGGTATGACAAAAACAAAAGAAGTGACACTAATTACTACTAATTATATTCATTTAATTTCAGATAATACGTATTTTCCGGATGTATAAAATATATTTTATGCAGTTAATTTTCATTTTGCGGTACAGTTAAACATAACTAAAAAAACCAGCCAGTTATTTTTGGTCGAACAAAGAATTTTCAATTTTCCATTCCAATGTACGGAATAAATTTATGTGATAAATTATATTCTGTTAACGAATTTTTTAGGTAAAATTTCTTGGCAATGTAACTTCAAACCATTTTGGTATGCCTTGGAACAATTTTTCTGACCAAGACTCTAGTATTATTTTATGAATTACAATCATTTATAGATCAATTAAAACAACATCTGGCTTAGCTATCAATATGTATTTTTTTATTTTTCAGAAGATTTTCGACCCCTCGCGTGCAACGCCACTGGACTCGTGTAGTTTATGGATCAGTGCCGCAACATCTGCACCAGGTACTGTAGTTTAAACAATGAAATGTTTCGAATATAGCGAGGACATTTAAAACATTGCAATTTTCAAAACAGACCTTTCGTGACATATATTTTTTCATAGTTCACGCGGCATAACATAAAAAAAATTACAAATAAAAAAGTGACATTAATTATTATTAATTATATTCATTTGGCTTCACATAATACTTGTGGCATATTGATTTCGTTTTCCGGTGGTATAAAAAAAATTGAACGTAGGTAATTTTAATTTCCTGATACAGTTAACCCAGCCAGTTGTTTTTGGTCGAACAAAAAGTGTTTTAAATTTTTCATTATAATTTAAGTGACAGTTGTACTAGGCACAGTCTATATTTTGGCAGTTCTAGAATTTAGCGTTCCTCATCCGTGGAAACCAATTTTTTGCGTACTGCCTTCGAGCGAAACAAAAAAATCACTTTTTTGGTCAATTTCGACTGCAATAACCACAATCTGGTGCAACTTTGCGTATCCGCGTTCTGTCGGATGAAGCTGATGGCGAGCGTGAAGGAATATAAAGATCGTATACTTACAAACCCGTATCCTCTACTTTTGCCCGTCTGTCTGTCCGTGATAACCACAGCCTCCTCGATGTCCCCATAAACGGCGAAGTGGTCCCTCAACGACTTGTCGCTGGTGTGGTAGGGCAGGCCCCCCACGAACAACTTGGTCCACGTCGTGTCCTTGTTTTGGACGCCGGTGCCGTTGAGGGTGCCCGTGGCCCCTAGGACGCCCAGGCCGCCCAGCCCCCCTACGAGGCTGTCGGCCTCGCTGGTGGCGGCGATTCCAGCACTCGGCATCAGCATGATCTTGGCTGTTTCCTCTGCGGGCTCGGATATTGCCGCGCGTTCCTCTGCCACACGGGACGAGTGATTTTCCGTTGGTCGAGCCGGCCGGTTTCCAAGGGGGTTCACAATGTTGTTTATGTACTCTTTGGTGAAGGTACTCCGGCGATCTCGCATAGGTGCGCAGGTTGGGCCGTTTTGCACATAAAGTTCTTCGAAAGCTGGCTTTCAGAAGAACACACAATCTCTCGGGTACGAGTTGGAGCACGTGCGACTGGTTTGTGCGCTACCGACTAACCACTGCGGACTAATTTTAGACTGGCTGAGCTACAGCTGTTCGCCGAACGTATATGTGTATCGGGGACCAACTAAGGGTTAAGAGATAACTCGTCAAGTGAAGCGCGATGCTCGACACATATGACCGGTGCGGACGCTCAGTCACGAATAAAACCAAATGCCGTTGTCTCAGCATGTAATGCGCCCCCTGGATTGGCTCGACTTACTGGCAGGGTCGTACCCCCGGTGTCTAGCAATAGCGTACACAACCGGTAGTCGTTTTTGTCAGCAGTTATTGCCGCTTCGTGGAAAACGACGTTATCTTCGACGTAACTCATGCGATCCGACGACGGGCGCTTTTCGCCTCTCACAAAGCCAGCCGCCGAAACTGACAGATTCGAAAGTTAGGCAAAAATTTCGAAGTCGAAATTGGAAAAGTTCCCTTTAAAATCTAATTCGGGGAAATTAGTACTTCAGAAAAGCGTATAAAATGTTATCTTATCTCGCACCAAGAGCCACTTTATTTTGGTTACGTTAACTTGTTGAAGATAATATTTAAAATTTTAGCAGATACGTTGTATTAAAAGGAACAGTGAAAACTACGGTAAAAAATATATTTAGAAATTTATTTCGTTGTTGTTTCGATTTATTTTTTCGATTTAAAACATTTTAATTGCTTACTAATTAGTAATCTGTCGTAACTGAAATTCGAAAAGTTCTCTTTAAATTTACTCTTTTTATTTAGAATCCGTAAAACTAATTGTTCGAAAAGTTAACGACTCATCGATTAAAATACATTTTGGGAGTCATAAATTTCAGATATCTAATCTCAATTTAATTTTATAAACTCAAAACAATCTCTTTCATCTATTTCTGCTCTTTACTTAACTTAACTTCAAAGCAACGTCAAATTTGTCAAAATGAATCAGTTTAGTTTTTTAAAATAATCATCTAAATGTTATTTAACCTATTTTTTATGCCAAATTCCGTAGTTGCTAATTCTAATAGCATCTAGTCAATCCGTTTTTATATTTACTGCACTTGGATTTATTTTCGTAAGTTTTAATATGTCAAACACAAAAGAAATTCGCAAAACACAAATTAAGTGATCCAAGCCAGCCATCTTACATATACACCCTGTATACGTGTCAATTGCAAATGTGTTTCAAAGGACTCGGATCCTATAAAAATAGCTTTACGCTCGTGTAAACCGATCTTTGTTTGTTTGTATTTATTGCAATTTTGCGTCTTTATAGTTCTTTAAGTATCATTATAAATTTAAGTACCGTATTAGAGTTTAAAGCAGTAAATTGATTCTTTATTATTTATTTTAACATTTTTTTTACCCGTCTGTGTCTGTAAGAGCTGACAACAGCTGACCTGAAATCGAGATTCTTGATGGGGGTATAAAGAGAGATAAATAGGGCCCGTATTAGAGATTTTGAAAGCACTACACTTTAACACCTCTTAATAAATTGATAAAATGTAGTTTTCAAATAAGCAACTAATATATTTAAAGTTTAAAAGTTGGTCTTTTCTTGTGTCACAGATAAAGTATTAACTGCTTTTCAAAACAAGGTAATTGGACATGAATCAGCAAACTTAAATTTAGAAAAATAAACTCGCTCGGCAACCTCCCGAGTTTAAAACAAAATTTATGAATGTAGAAACCATTTTTTTCTTCTGTCTAGAAAGAACATTCTTCTGTACTTATAAAACTACAGTGTTGTATAAACATAAATCTATCCAAATAGAAATTTCTTTAACATCAAGGAAGTACTGCTACTTTCCTGTATAACGGGTGGTTAAAATAAATAAATTTTTAATTTTTTTACTGTCCTTTCCGATTATTTTTTACTGGTCTTTCCATTTATTATCGTACTGTTCCTTTATTTTTATTAATTTATTTATTTTCAAATATCGGGTTTTTTACCGATCTTTAGATTTAACGATAATTTTTGGACTACAGTGATGCATTTATAAAAATCACAAGAGACTTGGGCCAGTTTTCAATATTCCTAATCTAATATCATGAAACCATTAGTGCAGACATCATAAAATCTTAAAATAATTCTGTTTTGCCGGTAGAATTTCAGCTACCACAAAATGTAAATAGCGCATAGATCCAAGTTTTTAATATGGCTACTCTAAGCTTTCTAAATTTACATTATATGTCAGAACCTGTTACAAAATCAATAGCATTAATATAAATGGTTTCCCTATTTCAATCCTTGAAAAAAATATATTTTTACGCATCTTGCAGCTTGCAGTTCGATTCTCCTTTCGTTATTTGCTGTAATCAGTTGTAATAATTTAATATTCTTGTAAATTTATGCTACAATAATATTTTGAGAGTGTATAAAATTAATTCAAGCTATGGGGGATAATGAGAGTTTAAAGAAACATGTGTGTAGGATTATATGTACGTGTATTTCAAAGGCGTTACCATAAACTCGATACGTCTCTGCGCCCCTGTGTACGCGTGCCCATCTGCGTGAAGTTTTTCGTAGGAAAAACAACCAGTGACGCGCGACTTAGGTCTCAAACAATGTGTTACTAATTAACGGTTAAAAATGAAACGAATTAGGGTCAGAAACTTAAATTATACCACAGTATTTTAAACCGGTTGTATGCCGTTCCATTATTCCTACAATTTACATAAAAATGTTCTATTTTGTTGAATTCGAAACATTGTTAAAAAAAATTTAAATCTAAAGTGTAGTGAAAAGTAAATTGAAAGAGCAGTAAAATAAATCGAAAGAATAGTAAAAAATTAAACACTTACAGCTCTCATTTGTTTAAGAAAATGAGAATGAGAAACGCCTCTGGGGCTGCCTATTGAATAATTCGGTTTCACTTGGCGAGTGCTGAAATAAATAAGCAATACTTGGCAGTGCGCACCTGGCCTTAGCACCCTTGTGCTGGGATCGCACCCCTATTATCTCGGACACGGTTGTACTCGCATTGGAAGCTATTTGCCGCAGTTCTCTAGCCTAGACGTTGTACAACACAGAAAAGTTTATGCCTAAATTTATAAATTGAATAACTTCGGTCTACCATTTAAAAAAATCCGTTAAGGTATAGGTAATCTTATATTTTTTATTGTAACATTTGTTAACCTCGTATACATACATCTAAATGGTTATAACTGTGTAGGTTTAAGGAACTAATTTTTCTAATGGTCTTCGACCCAGTAATTTTTCAACAGCTGTGAATGAATTCACCCTTTTCAAACTTCGTGTAACCCGAGCTACAAACTGGTTTGTTTCATTCGTTTTTTAATTGATACTTGGGCATGGAAGACAAATAACTGACACGATTACTTCACACAACTGTATTTTTAAATAGTTAAATTATTTTATGTCGGTGAAATATGTCAATATATTCGACTGACTTTGCGCAAGATTTAAATTTAAAACTAATTACTGATCACAAGTTTAATTCGTTGCTTTTCTGCATAAAAAATATAATTCCAATTTTTACTGAATCGAATGCTTAAACTGTTCTTTGAACTCGTATATCCAGCCTGCTAAATGATGTGGGTTTATTTTGAGCGTACTGGAAATGTGTTACATTGCTGAAGTAGAACTTGTCGATGATTGAAATTCATAGCAATTATATAATTTGTATGTATAACTGATTACGCTTCTGGCTGGCATATTTCTGTAATAACACCAATAGGTATTATGGTACTCGTGTTCAATAAAGTTAATGTATTTTTCTATTAGGAATGGTCGTAAAGGGTTTTTGTTATGTCGCAACCATTAACATTTTTATATCTAGGTATTGACTATTCATTCAATAGCACCTTGTTTCTAGGAATTAAAATGATTATGCAAAATGGAAAACCGTTTTTCAAGTGAAAAAAAATTATCAGACAGTTTAGAAATAAGAATTAGTAAAAAAATAGGTCGAAAGATGGATAAAAATATAAATCGAAAGATGAGTAAAAAATTAAATCGAAAGGGCAGTTAAAAAGAAGCGAAATAACTTTCTAGAATTTTCGAAAATAGCTTCACTTTCTTGGAATTAACCGCATTCGACACCCGACTTAGAAAGACTAGCAGATTGCAGTGCATACTGTGTTTTGCAGTAACGAAGACGTGTTTGTTCGTAAGTGTATCGTCCTATGCATTTTCAATGTAATTTCTTCGTAAAATAAATCAAAGGATATGAAAAATAAAAACATTTTAATCCACGCACTTGGAAAAAATTTTTTCAGCTAAGCCATTGCATGGACCAGGTAGCTTGTTTATTCAGCTTCTATTTCCTTTTTTTTTAAATTTCCACACGACCATTTTTCATCGAAATATCGGACTTTTAATGGAAAAGGATCCATTTGTCTTCAATCATAGATATCTCGGCGACAAATGGTCGTAAAGAGAATTGAAGGGCTCTTTCGAAAACTGGAATAAATTTCCTATAACGGAAAAAAACGGCTGCGGTAACTTTTCGGAAAAAATTTTTTTTTCATCTTTTATACGAATTTTAAAAAACAAGAAAAGAAGGGTAATGTATGTTTTTTTTTAGAAAATTGACGGCTAAATTAGAAATGTTCACGAAATGACTAATGTTAAGCATGACTTACAGTTCGATATACCCAGAAGAACCCCCATCATGATTAAAATGAAAAAAAAAAATAAAAATACAGGTTTTCTCACATTTTTACCGCAAGTAACGTTTAAATTGATGAAAAAAAAAATAAAAAAATTTTCGAAATTTTTGGAGTTTTTTAAAATCTCTGAAATCTCTCAAAAATATGCGGTATTGAATTTATTGTTACACATTTAGCAATAGAAAATGATAAATAGCAACGTTGGTACTTAAGTATCTTCTTATTTGATTTCCCAATTATCTAAAGACCATTTTACGAATACTTTACTAGAATACTTTATTGTCATAAATTGAATGTACATTTTAAAAACATTTAAAATTATTTAAAAAACAGTGACGTACGATTTTTTTTTCAAAAAAGGTCCCCTACTGCCCCAATAACTACGTCACTGGAGTGTATTTTGGAATAAGTTATCCATAGTCCCTCCTAGAAAAATGTCATCCCCCAAATTTTACCACTAAATATTTTTGCTAGTGAAGTTACAGGAAAAATCATATAAATATTTGAAACATGTAACACCCTGTATCTCCGTAGAGAAACGTCCTATCAAAAATTTGTATAGG